CCCCCCCCCCCCCAGCAATTTTAATTAACTGTTCAGTGACAGATGGTAGAAAAGGCCTTGTGTAAAGTGCTTCTGGTGGGCTAGATTAGGGGGTGGTTGGTTTGCACTGATTCTGTTGTAGAAGGACCTAGCCTTCCCCTCCCCCTTCCAGTTGAGCTATAATCCTGTTAGATGATTTTAAAATGCTATTGATTAATTCCCAGTGATCTTAGAGGAATAAGCGAAAGTTTTGGATTTAAAACCCAGGAACCAATTCCCTTGAGCTCTTGAGGCCAAGGTAGGTACCTTCCAACTTCTTCGTCCAGTCTTCACTGAAAAGGAAAGTTAAGGCTTTTAACTTTTCAGTTTGCCTCTCCCCTCTTAATCTAGTACTGCTGCCAGTTGCCATGGCAACGGACTGGGACAGCTGCGCAGTGGCGCCCAGGCAGCTGGGTGGGGGCGGGGGAGCTGTCTGCCCGCCAAACCCCAGATCTGGGAGGGGAGGCCCCTCCTGTTAGCCCAGAGGGAAAGAAAGAAGTGGGGCGATCCGGTAGGTAAAGGAGGGAACACCCATTCATTTTCTCCCTTTGGGGAGCCCCTTCTGCATGAAGGTATAAAGGGAGATTTCCTCTTTTCTCCCTCAAACTGAAGAACACATATGTAAATCCTTGTTTTTCCTCGTGAGGCTGGGGAGGCCATAGCCACAATGCTTAACTGCATGCATCTAACTCAGGGCTGATTTTAACCCCAGCGCTCTGACCTAAACTGCTCAGCTCCCGGAAATTCCAAGGTGAGTGGGGGTGGGGTGGGGTACTCTCCCTGGAATATGACATTTCCTGACTCTGGTGAGATCGGAGGCAGTTTTTATTTTAAATAAATCAAATCTGATATTTTTTTTCTTACAGTTTAGAACTCTCTTCTAAATTCATGGAAAAATTATTTTGAAACCCCATACTTAGATTCTCCCGCCCACCCCCTCTTCCAAATAAAGTATTTTAATGAAAACTTAGTTTTATTACAAGGCAGTAATGGGTACAGGCAGTATTTTTGGTGAGCAGATCTACTGCTAGCAAGTTCTGGAAATATGGTACCCAACTATTTATTCTTGGAATAATTCCTTAAATTTTGCTATTTGAAATAAATTAGATGCAACTTTTTATGCTACTTGACCTGAACAAAATTCTGAGATTAGTAGTGGCCTTCCCTAATCCTGGAAATGGTCTTCTGGTCAAGATGGAAATATTTTTATAGAGAGTGCTGAAAAAATTCTTTAAAGATTACAGCAAAATAAATATGGAGTTCAGCTAAGAAAACAATTCCTGCTAATTTATAATCCAGACCGTAGGCACCATTTAACATGGTTAAAGAAGAATTCTTAAAAATGATTATGGTAACAACGTGGGAATTTAAAAAAAATAGATTCTCTGTTGAGTACCCCCTGGTTGTGCATATTTCTGAGCTTAACTCAATTTCCATTTGTGTTGCCTTCAGCTTTCCTTGGGCCAATGAATGGTTCCTCTGTGTTTTGAGGCTTCATGTTGATGTGAGTCTGGGGCCAGACTTCTCTTTCTTCCTCCTCTTTCTTTGGCCTGAAGTCAACTCAAGTTAAGAGGGGAGGTACCTCTTTAACTATTTGTATTAGTTGAGCCTTGAGAATTACTGAGCAATCCAATGACTAATTTTGATTTTTAGGACTAAAAAAATTTTTTCTCCTCCCTGCCTCCCTCCCATACCCAAATGAAAAAGGAGGCTTAGTGTGTTTGAGATGTCAGTCTTGCTTTTGTGAGCTGATGGATGTACCGAAGAGACAGGCTCAATTTGTTAAAGAGAAATGTACCGAGACACTGAAAATGTGGTGAAGATGCCAGAGCAGGCCTTTTTTGTGCGGCTAAGAAACTGACCCGTCAAGATGCTCAGAGCAGAAAGTTACATTTGGTGGCTTTTCTTTTTTTCATTTTTATAAAGAACTGTATTTACCTTGGAGGGAAAGGTTTTACTTCTATCATGGTTCTTTTAACTGCATGTTTTCCACATTTTTGTTTGAGTTCCTGGCTTGTAAGCAGTTACAGAAGTAGCCAAGAGAAACAAATGACACTACTTGTCTTTTGGAATCTGAAATTAGAAGAGTTAGACAGTTGTGCCATCTAATTTTGGTCCTGTTAGTTGAAGAGAAAGTTGTGCTTGGGAAAGCAGGGATAGATCCATTTTTATTAAATTCTTAGGATTCGTATGTAGAATGTTTCAACACCTGAGAAAAGGGTACATAGCAATTGTGTTATATCCTCTGCATCTCATCAAGAAGAGACAAACTTGTCCTGGCCTATGCTTTCTCTGCTTCCTTGTGCTCAGTTGTAACGGGAGCCTGGCAGGATACACAGCAGTCTCTCTCTCAGTTTAGGAGGGCTGTCCTGAGGCTTAGGGCTTTTAAAGGCATGAGAAACCTGGCCAGGTGGCTCAGGTGGTTGGAGCGTCATCCTGTGCACCTCAAAGGTTACAGGTTCGATTCCCAGTCAGGGCACATGCCTAGGTTGCAGGTTCAAACCCCAGTTGGGGAGCACACAGGAGACAACCAATGGATATTTCTCTCTTACATTAATGTTTCTCTCTCTTTTTCTCCCTTCCTCTCTCTCTCAAATCGATAAACATATCCTCAAGTGAGGATTTTAAAAAAGAAGAGACAACAAGTTTTAACTCCTCACATGGATTCTGACCATTTTGTCCTTCCCATTTGCAGGAACCCAGTGGCCTTAGTCCTTCAGGTGGAACAGCGTGCACCATGGGAAAGAAAACCAAGCGAACAGCTGACAGTTCTTCTTCAGAGGATGAGGAGGAGTATGTCGTGGAGAAGGTGCTAGATAGGCGTGTGGTTAAGGGGCAAGTGGAATATCTACTGAAGTGGAAAGGCTTTTCTGAGTAAGTGCCTGCTCTTAGGCCTTAGGACTCTGCAGAGGTAGACACTTTTGGTTTATTTTCCTGTGAACCATGGCCATTTTGTCGTCCCCTGTCCCCCCACCTGCACTCCTTTCCTAAGAGAAGACACAGCAATAAGCTAAACAAAGTCTTCTCCCTCTTTGGTGCTGGTATTCTAATGATAATACTTTTGAGAGGCAGGATAATGAATTGGTTAGGAACATAGTCTTGGGAGCCAGATTGCCTGAGTCCAGGTTCTTGTGCCACCACTTATGATATGAGCTGGGTGACCTTGGTTAAGTTCCTTAATCTTTTTTTCTTCTCAATAAAGTAGGGATAAGAAATAATACTTGTAATAGAGATGTTGGGTAGATATAGAGAGCCTGACACATAAGCTCAGTGTAAGTAGAAACTGTTACTGTTCTTTTGGATATAACTAAGCTAAAACACATACACTGAAGAAGATGTTGATGATGATGAAGTAGTAGTCATCATCATGGATCCTGTAGCCCACAGCTTTCCAAAATGATCTCTGGACCTCCGAACTGTCTTTAGGATGAAGCACTTACCTTTTTTTTTTTTAATGTTCCTTCAGGTTCTATTGTTACTTGATTTTTAAAAAAATTGATTTTAGAGAGGAAGCAAGAAAGAGAAACATCGATTGTTGTTCCACTTATTTATGCATTCACTGGTTGATTCTTCTTTTTTTTTTAATCCTCACCTGAAGATATTTTTTCCATTGCTTTTCAGAAAGAGTGGGAGGGGGAGAGAGGGGGGGAGAGACAGAAACATTAATGTGAGAGAGACACATTAATTGGTTGCCTGCCACACATGCCCTGACCAGGGCCGGGGATCGAGCCTGCAACCAAGGTACGTGCCCTTGGCCAGAATCAAACCCAGAACCCTTCAGGCCGCAGGCCAATGCTCTAACCACTAAGCCAAACTGGCTAAGGCTCATTAGTTGATTCTGATATGTACCCTGACCAGATTAAACCTGCAACCTATTGAGCTACCCAGCCAGGGCTGAAGCACTTATCTTTTTTTTTCTTCTTTTTTTTAATCCTCACCTGAGAATATTTTTTCCATTGCTTTTCAGAGAGAGTGGGAGAAAGGGAGGGAAACATCACAGACAGACATCAATTGGTTGTCTCCGGCATGGGCCCTGAGTGGGTCCAGGGATCGAGTCTGCAACTGAGGTATATGCCCTTGGCCCGAATCGAACCCGGGACCCTTCAGTCCACAGGCTGATGCTCTAACGACTGAGCCAAACTGGCCAGGGCTGAAGCACTTATCTTTTTTAAAAAATATATCCATATTGATTTCAGAGAGAGGAAAGGAGAGAGAGAAAGATAGAAACATCAATGATGAGAGAGTCATTGATCGGCTGCCTCCTGCACACCCCCGACCCGGGATGGAGCCTGCAACCCAGGCTTGTGCGCTGACGGGAATTGAACCCCAATCACCTGGATCCTAGGTCGACTCTCAACTGCTGAGCCACGCCCGGCTGGGCAGAAGCACTTATCTTAATGAGACTTAAATCTGAGGCCACAGTCTCATGTGTCTCCCCCTACCACCACCAAGTATGTATTTATTTTTGAAAATTTCAAATATACAACTGAGGCCAAAGAAATTGAGTGAGCACGCAGATACATACCACCTACTTTCGGTGATTAACATTGTAATGTAACCTATCCGTCTATTCCTTTATCCATCATTCTATTTTTTTTAAAAACCCTCTTTTTAAGTCAGCTTTAAGAATGATACTGAAGTGATGACTAGCATGTCTGTTAGGCAGTAACTGGCTTTATGCTGATACTAAAGTAGGTTATTATTTTCTTTGAAATAAATAGAACTAGACACATTGAAGCATAGAAGTAGTACCTTGAAAAGTAAAATATGAGAAGCTGTGTAATCATTAGGCATTTTGCCTCAATTGGCGATTCTTTTCTTATGATACCTGATAACAAAGTGGATTTCTCAGAACCCCAATGAACTGATAAGAAATGGATTAGACTCCTTAGAGTGGTGCTGGCCAGTAGAAATATAATGCATGCCACATGTGTAATTTTAAATATTTTGGTGGCCACATTAAAGAAACATGAAGTTAATTTTAATAATATATTTTATATAACACAGTATACCAAAATGCTATTTCAACAATAATTTTAGAATTGAGGTTTTTTACATTGTTTATTCATACTAAGCCTTCTAAATCTGATGTATATTTTACATTTTATAGCACATCTCAGTTCAGACTACTCACATTTCAAGTGCTCAGTAATCACATTTGGCAAGTAGCTACCATATTGCACGTCTCAGCTTTAAAGTGTAGGACTTGAATATACTAAAAGAGTCAATGTTTTGACAGTACCTTTGGACAAAGGTATGAATCAAGAGCCTTCAGAACATACTTAAGGTTATTTCATTACATGAGTCAAAGTTTCTTACCCATAGCACTGTTTTAGGTGGGATGGTTTGTGCACTACAGGATGCTTAGCATCTCTAGCACACAGAGCACTAAAGGTGGGTAACACAGCAATCAGAATATGCCCCCTATATTTCTAAAGGAAAATAAAAGAGGAAGAGACAAGGCTTGGGTTAGACAGATTAAGCATTTGTCCTTTGTCAGAAATGCCAGGATTTCATTAAAGCCTGGAACAAATTTTGCCCCCTCAGCATTGTCTACAACTAAGTACCTACTGTTTGCTAGGCAGTGGTCAGATTCTACCTTGGTTGATATAGAAACAGCACTATCAGTATGGTAGGAAAAGGGATAATCGCATTATAGGACTGGCTTTTTGTGCTATGAACAGAGACTCTCCTACCCCTATATGTAGTGTTGGCATGCCTCTTGATTTTGGTACCTTAATTTCTTCTGGAATAGTAAACTATATGGTCTGTGGATTTGGGAAAAGTTATTGTGTGAGGAATTTTTTTGGCTGAAAAGGGGCTATGAACGAGAGGCTTTTCTAGTTCTAGCTCAAATGTCTTAAAAATAAATTTTGTCTCATTCTTAAGTTCCTTTTGCAGAAAGTTGTTTAAGTCTAGAGTATATCAGATTTTTTCATCATTCTGCTTCTTACATTTGAGTCAAGTTATGTCATGTATTCAAACCATTCCTAACTAAAGATTCCTTATTTTAGCCCGGCCGTTGTGGCTCAGTGGTTGAGCATCAACCTGTGCACCAAGAGGTCACCAGTTTGATTCCCCATCAGGGCACATGCCCGGGTTTCGGGCTCGGTCCCCAGTAGTGGGCATGCAGGAGTTGTTTCTCTCTCTCCCTCTCCCTTCTCTCTCTAAAATCAATAAAAACATTTAAAAAAAAAAATAACAAAAAACAAAATATCTAAAATGGATAGTACATAAAATAAAAAAATGTTTCCAAGTCAATGAAAGAAAGTATTGTAGAAACTGCTTCTCTGGTATGTTTACAGATGTATCTTAATGTAACCTAGTTCTTACTATATAACCAAAAGAACCTCTGTCACTAGCTAGGGGTGAAGAGGATGCCTGGTGTAGTTTTCCCATGTAGATACATTTGTTGCTTTGATTTCATAAGCTTATGATGGAGTTGGGGGTTTGGTTTTGTAAAATCTATGCCAGGAATACAGAGAAAACTGAATACCAACTATTTATTTTCCTCATAATAGGACTCTTGATCCAAGTTTAATTAGACCCAATTATTTAGTTTGGGTTATTTATTTATTTTACTTATTACTATAATAATGTATTTTTAACTGCTTAGTAACAGTAGACTTAAATCCAGACCATTGAATTAATGCACTCCAATCCCCACTTCTGAGTCTTCACCTTATAGTTTGTCTATATTCTAATGATTTAAGCTCTTACTGCCTTTTGTCTAAATAACTATTTCCAGCCCTCCAATAATTTCTTCAAAATATAAGTAACATTTCACGGGGCGGGCAGTGTATGATTTATTAGATTGCCCTTTCACGGATTTGCATAGATGACTGTATGTATGAAGTCACATTATTTTGTCACTTATAGAGTTCATTTTGAGTTTTTAACACCTTTATTTGGGTATCATTTACAATCTGTAAAAATCATTCATTGAAAGTGTATGGTTTGTGATTTTTTTTAGTAAATTTATGGAGTTGTGTAACCATCCCCACATTCCAGTTTTAGAACATTTCCATAGCCTTCCCAGATTTCCTTTAGCCCATATATAGTTAATCCCTAGACTCATACCCAGACCCAGCATCAGGGAATTACTGATCTGAAATGCTTTCTATCTCTAAAGTTGTCTTTTCTAGACATTTCATATAAATAGAATCAGACAAAATAGTCTTTTGCATCTGGTTTCTTTCACTTAGCATAATGTTTTTGAGGTTCTTTCATGTTGTAGCATGTATTAATTAGTATTGTCTTCCTTTTTGCTATTGAATAGTAGTCTTATTATATAGATATATCAGATTTTGTTTATTCACCAGGTCATGGACATTTGAATTGTTTTGTCTTTTGGCTATTAAAATGCTGCTATAAATAATTGTGTACAAGTTTTTTTGGTGGAGATATCTATGTGTATATATATACACATATATATATACTTTTTGTTTGTTTGTTTTTCTTGGATAAATTCCTAGGATTAAATTTGTTATCTCCTTTAAGGGTAGGGTTTCTTTCCCTTTTGCCTACTTGTCCTCTTTAAACTAAGGCTTTGGATTCCGGCCCCCCCCCCAATTCTTTTCCTTTTTTCTCTGTTCTTCTTGCCCAGGGAGCACAATACTTGGGAACCTGAGAAAAATTTGGACTGCCCTGAGCTAATTTCTGAGTTCATGAAAAAGTATAAGAAGATGAAGGAGGGTGAAAATAACAAACCCAGGGAGAAGTCAGAAACTAACAAGAGGAAATCCAGTTTCTCAAACAGTGCTGATGATATCAAATCCAAAAAAAAGAGAGAGGTAAGCTTTCTTTCCCCTTTTCCCCACAAATTATTCTTTTGCCACCCCCTCCCTCTCTCTTCTCCCCCCTCCTCAAAAAGAGCCTTATTTTGTTTATTTCTGTTCTAAGGATGACCTGCAAGGTAAAATTGTTGAACAAAAGAGCTTCCAGGGAGGTATGTTGATTAACTACAGCGCCCCCTCCTGGCTGAATGAGAAATGTAATATATGTACACTGAATTGTATTAAGGTGACAAAATTAAATCTGGACAAAACATTCAGCCACTCTCTGTCTTCTCCAGAGAAGAACGCTAAGCTGTCTTAGAGAGGAAAGGTTTTTGGTGAATTTTAAGAATAGAAAAGGGCTTTAAAACGTTCACCACTTCCTTTTTTCTTTTGGTCCAAAGATAGCCCTTATTTTCAGTCCTTTATATTCTTTAATTTTGTCATTGAGATGAAATTCACATATATACAATTAATCATTTTAAAGTGTATAGTTCAGTGACATGTATATTCTCTTTTGATCTTATTTGTATGTACTTTACATTAGAAATTTTCGTCTCTTTTTTTTTTTAATCCTCACCTGAGGACTAAAATTCATTGATTTTTTTTTTTTTTTTTTTTTT